ACTCATTGTGCTATACAGGAGTGTGATTCTATTTTCTGAGTTCGCATTTATTTCTGTATGTGGTCTCTGCCCCACCTCTTGGACCTCTACTTCACTAAAAAGGCCACGGTTACACACTCCACATAGGGTTTTATATGGATCAGTCCGGCTGATGTTCTTCTCTGCATTGCATGTCCTCTCATTGTCATGATGTGACATTTCAGTTGGACGAGATGGAAATTTAAAGGGTTGGTCCACCCTCATTTTTCAGTGGTTGGTAGATGATGGAGAGTTAAACTAGCACTAATGACTCACATTATGTGCCTTCATTCCATTTATATAAACCAATGGAGCAGAGGAAAATGATTGCTTTCTGTAATAAAAGCCCAGAAACACGTACAACTTGTTTCTTTAGCACTGTATCCTCTGGATTCCTGCTGCTTTAATAAAATTCTGGTTGGGGAGCGTGTACTCATCACTTTATAGAAAGTCCCCCTTTTCTCCCTATCTAGGTCTACATACCCCATAGCGCCTCCACCACCAATGCACACCACCACCATGGCCACCACTGTGCATGTGTGCCCCATCTATTCCTCCTTCTGGGGACTAGATGTCCCATTATTCACCACCACCATGGAGATTGTGCATGCACACCCCTTCTATCCTTCCCCTGGATGTGTTGCCCCACCTTGGGACTACCCATTCCATAATGCCACTGCGACATTGGTCACTGTGCATGTGTCTCCCCCATCTATTCCTCCTTGGCTGAGTTCCCCCCTTCTCAGGACTACATGTCCCATAATTCCACAGCTTTAATGGCTACTGTGCATGCATGCCCTGCCTATTCCTCCTTGGCTTCATTCTCCCTTCTTGGGACTATATGTCCCTTAATGCTACCACCACCACCATGGTCCCTGTACATCGAAGCCCTGTCTATTCCTCCCTGGCTGTGTTCCACACTTCACACAGGTGCTGCCATCAAGGGGGGAGGAGTTCCGGTGACGTCACGGACTACTCCCCCTTCCCTTTGTTAGCCGTCACCGACATCGACGTCACCGGACTCCTCCCCCCTTCCCTTCGTTAGCCGACGGAGCCACTTGCGGAAGGGGGGAGAGTACGATAATCGCTGGTCATCCCACGATCGTACAATAATCGGCAGGTGTATGGGCAGCGTGCGACCGCTTCTTCTGTAAGGTCGTACGACTTTTGTCTTCCAAGCACGCTGGAAAACCTGCCGAAAATCGAACGGAAGACGAATGCCGCACGGTGTGCCCACTCAGCACTGCAATCATCAGAAGCCCTCCCCTCAGCAGGATTGCGATGATCACAAGTGCGATCTGCCTGTCCAAGATGGGCAGATTTTAATGACCTTACAACCATCGCATAACGAAAGTCGTGCGATGGTTGTAAGAATATACACACGCACACACGCACACACACAGACACACACTATATTTCCCCAAAAGTATTGGTACTCCTGCCTTTACATGCACATGAACTTTAAAAGCATCACAGTCTTAGTCCGTAGGGTTCAATATTGAGTTGGCCCGCCCTTTGCAGCTATAACAGCTTCAACTCTTCTGGGAAGGCGTCCACAAGGTTTAGGAGTGAGTCTATGGGAATGATTGACCATTCTTCCAGAAGCGCATTTGTGAGGTCAGGTACTGATGTTGGACGAGAAGGCCTGGCTCGCAGTCTCTGCTCTAATTTATCCCAAAAGTGTTCTATCGGGTTGAGGTCCTGGCTCTGTGCAGGTCAGTCAAGTTCCTGCACCCCAAACTCGCTCATCCATGTCTTTATGGACCTTGCTTTGTGCACTGGTGCACAGTCATGTTGGAACAGGAAGGGGCCATCCCCAAAGCGTTCACACAAAGTTGGGAGCATGAAATTGCCAAAATGTCTTGGTATGCTGATGCCTTAAGAGTTCCCTTCACTGGAACTGAGGGGCCAAGCCCAACCCCTGAAAAACAACCCCACACCATAATCCCCCCTCCCCCAAACTTTACACTTGGCACAATGCAGTCAGGCAAGTACCGTTCTCCTGGCAACCGCCAAACCCAGACACGTCCATCAGATTGCCAGACAGAGAAGCGTGATTCGCCACTCCAAAGAACACATCTCCACTTCTCTAGAGTCCAGTGGCCGCGTGCTTTACACCACTGCATCTGATGCTTTGCATTGCACTTGGTGGCGTAAGGCTTGGATGCAGCTGCTTGGCCATGGAAACCCATTCCATGAAGCTCTCTACGCACTGTTGTTGTGCCAATCTGAAGGCCACATGAAGTTTGGAGGTCTGTAGCTATTGACTCTGCAGACAGTTTGCGACTTCTGCGCACTGTGCACTTCAGCATGCGCTCACCCTGCTTTGTCATTTTACCTGGCCTCCGCTTTGTGGCTGAGTTGCTGTTGTTCCCAGTTGCTTCCACTTTGTTATAATACCACTAACAGTTGACCATGGAATATTTAGTAGCATGGATATTTCACGGATGGACTTCACAGGTGGCAACCTATCACGGTACCACGCTTGAATTCACTGAGCTGCTGAGAGCAACCCATTCTTTCACAAATGTTGGAGAAGCAGTCTGCATGCCTAGGTGCTTGATTGTATACACTTGTGACCATGGAGGTGATTGGAACACCTGAATCCAATGATTTGGAGGGGTGTCCCAATACTTTTGTCGATATAGTGTATATATAGCAGGTATTTAGACTGCTAATGCCACCTCCTGATCACTTCTTCCCTGGCAACCTAAGTCCTCCATGAGTCACTGACTAGCATTCAGCTATATACACACACATATATTTTGTTATGGTAAATGGAACAGGAGAAGCTGTAACAGAAAGGTGGATGGGAACACAATAAAAGTCCCAGGTGAACAGGAGCAGAGAATGAAATTATAGCAAGGAGATCTCACCATAGTAGGGTTGCCACCTTTTGTTCAAGCGAAACCCGAACACTCTAGCAACGCACGGACATTTTTGGGGGAGAATTGGGAGAATGAGTTGTGGCTTATTCATATGTAAATACGGCCACCCATTAATAAGTAAATATCACAGTTTAAAGAGTTAGTAGAACATTATTAGTGGTAAAGGATGATATGGGGGGATAGGTAAGTCAGGTGTAAGGATAATATAAAGGGGGATGGAGCGAGTACATGTTTTGGATTTATAAGTCCAGGATCTCTCATGTTCCTCTCTCTTCCTATCTCTCCCCCTCTCTTCCTATCGCTCTCTTCCCATCTCTCTTTCTCTTCCCCTTTCTCTTCCTATCACTCTCTTCCGTTCTCTCTTCCCATCTCTCTCTTCCCCTCTCTCTTTTCCTATCTCTCTCTTCCTCTCTCTCTTCCCCTCTCTCTTCCTATCACTCTCTTCCCCTCTCTCTTCCTATCACTCTCTTCCCCTCTCTCTTTCTATCGCTCTCATCCCCTCTCTCTTCCTATCGCTCCCTTCTTATCGCTCTCTTCCTCTCTCTCCTACTGTCGCTCTCTTCCCCTCTCTATCCCCATCTCTCTCTTCCCCTCTCTGTTCCCATCTCTCTCTTCCTCCTTCTCTACCTATCTCTCTCTCTTCCCTTCTCTTCCCATCTCTCTCTTCCTATCTCTCTCTTTCCCTTCCTCTCTCTCTTCCTTTCTCTCTCTCTCTTCCCCTCTCTCTTTCTCTCTCTCTCTTCACCTCTCTCTCTATCTTCCTATCACTCTCTTCCCCTCTCTCTTTCTATCGCTCTCATCCCCTCTCTCTTCCTATCGCTCCCTTCTTATCGCTCTCTTCCTCTCTCTCCTACTGTCGCTCTCTTCCCCTCTCTATCCCCATCTCTCTCTTCCCCTCTCTGTTCCCATCTCTCTCTTCCTCCTTCTCTACCTATCTCTCTCTCTTCCCTTCTCTTCCCATCTCTCTCTTCCTATCTCTCTCTTTCCCTTCCTCTCTCTCTTCCTTTCTCTCTCTCTCTTCCCCTCTCTCTTTCTCTCTCTCTCTTCACCTCTCTCTCTTCCCCTCTCTCTCTTCACCTCTCTCTCTTCCCCTCTCTCTCTTCACCTCTCTCTCTTCTTCTCTTTCTTCCCCTCTCTCTCTTCTTCTCTTTCTTCCCCTCTCTCTCTTCTTCTCTTTCTTCCCCTCTCTCTTTTCTTTTCTTCTCTTTCTTCCCCTCTCTCTTTTCTTCTCCTTCTTCCCCTCTCTCTCTTCTTCTCTTTCTTCCCCTCTCTTCTTCTCTTTCTTCCCCTCTCTCTCTTCTTCTCTTTATTCCCCTCTCTCTCTTCTTCTCTTTCTTCCCCTCTCTCTCTTCCTATCTCTATTTTCCCCTCTCTCTCTTCCTTTCTATCTCTTCCTGTCTCTTCTTCCCGTCGCTCTCTTCCTATCTCTCTCTTCCCCTCTCTCTTCATATTGCTCTCTTCCTCTCTCTCTTACCGTCACTCTTTTCCCCTCTCTCTTCCCATCACTCTCTTGCTATCTCTCTCTTCCCCTCTCTCTTCCTATCGCTCTCATCCCCTCTCTTCCTATCGCTCTCTTCCTATCGCTCTCTTCCCCTCTCTCTTCCTATCGCTCTCATCCCCTCACTCTCACTTCATGTCACTCTCTTCTTTCCATCTCTCTTCCCGTCGCTCTCTTCCCCTCTCTCTCACTTCCCCTCTCTCTATCTTCCCTTCTCTCTTCCTATCTTTCTCTTCCTCTCTCTTCCCGTCGCTCTCCCCCCCCCTCTCTCTTCCTAGCACTCTCTTTGTAGTTGTGTGTGTATATATTGGGTATTACGTGTCAGTTTTTGTTGTCACACCTGCTCAGGTAAGCGGTGATGTCATCTGTCCTCCCCTTCTCTTCTCTTCTCCCCTCCCCTCCTCGCCCCGTCCTGGGAGGATTAGCTCAGGGCGGAGCAGGCTGGTAGTGTGTACACAGGAGGGTATAACCGGATCAGAGTCACAGTGAGTTCCAGGGATTTGGATAAAGAGTCCCCGGATCAGGCGGCAGCAGCAGATCTTCCCCCCCCCCCCCCGGAACACATAGGCGGACCAGTCGGCGCTGACCTGAAGGTCGTCTTCCCACCATGTCCGCTGTGACAGCAGCACGGGGACAATGATGCTTGTATGGACCCAGAGCTGAGCCCGACCGAGGACACAGACCGACCGAGGACAGACAGACGGATCCAGAGACAGACCGACACAGCCCGATCACTGGAGGATTGAGCCATGAAGGACCGACTGGAGCAGCTGCGAGCGGTAAGTGACACTTGTCCTGGAGGAACCAGTCTGACAGGTCGGAGGATTGGTGACAACAATCAGCCTTTCCAGAGCCCGGGGACTCCACCCTGACCCCATTGAATGAGCAACAGGACTGAACTCCAATTGATGGGGTCTGATGTATGGGTACCAATCAATTGATAAAGTGTATCTAACCCCCCAAAATGCTACATTGCACCTAATAAATCCCTAGATGTGTCTGCCTTCGTTTTCTTCTTTCAAGCTCTTTTCCTTTCACATCTGAGCGTTCTGTTGCGCCTTTCCCGAGGCGCAACAGCACTCAAACCTGACAAATTACATCATTTTCAATGGTGCCCGTTCACACCTGAGGATTGTGCTTCAAAATGTCACCCTCAAGTGTGAATAGGACTTATTTTCATCCAGTGATCCTGCCAGTGACGTTTTCCTTTCCTAGGGTGACAACCATCACTGCACGGCACCTATGGAGGAGCTGTGTTGTCACCCTAGGCTGGCATCAAGTCACTACACGCTGCCCGGCTTCCTGATTGGCTGGCCAGCCGACTCCATGCTCCCTCGTCACCGAGTGACGAGGGAGCATGGAGTCGACTGCCCAACCAATCAGGAAGTCAGACGGTGAGTCATTACCTGCCCCTGGCTTTCGGGTTGGCCAGAAGGCTGGCTTCATGCTCCCTCATCACCTGGTGACGAGGGAGCATGGAGCCGGCTTCCTGGGCCAATCAGGAAGCCGAGCACTGTGTAATCACTAGTTGCTCGGGTTCCTGATTGTCCAGCTTCGACCAATCAGGAAGCTTGGCAATGAGTCATTTCAAAGCGCCCGGCTTCCTGATTGTCCAGAAAGCCAGCTTCATGCTTCCTCGTCACTTGGTGGAGCTTGCTTTCTGGCCAATCAGGAAGCCGGGCGCTGTGTAATGACCCGTTGCCCAGCTTCCTAAATGGTCGGAAAGCCGGCCAATCAGGAAGCCGGACAGCAAGTCATTACCCACCCCTCAGCTTTCTGATTGGGCAGAAAGCTGGCTTCATGCTCCCTCATCACCTGGTTACGAGGGAGCATGGAGTCGGCTTCCCAGCCAATCAGGAAACTGGGCTCTGTGTAATGACTCGTCCTGCTTCCTGGTTGAAGCTGGCCAATCAGGAAGACGGGCAACTAGTCATTACACAGCGCCCAGCTTCCTGAATGGCCAGAAAGCTGGCTCTATGCTTCCTCGATACTTGGTGACGAGGGAGCATGAAGCCGTCTTCCATGCTAATCGGGAAGCTGGATGGCTAGATATTTCTGATTAGCTGAGAAGCCTGGCGGTAAGTCATTACACGCCACCTGGCTTCCTTAATGGGACTTCCAGTATCGGTATTCGGTATCGGTGAGTACCAGAAAAAAAATATCAGTAATTGTACTCGATACCGAAAGATCGGTATCGGTGCATCCCTAGTTATTTTTAGCTGCATCCAATGAGATTTAAAAATTGCAGTCACATGGCTAAATCAGAGAGCCTTACCCTTGTGTAAATGTATCCTTTGGTCTGACTTTAGTGTAGTAACATTCTGTTGCTATGGGTTACTGCTGTTTGCCAAATAAGGCAGTGAGAAGGGTGAGAGTGGGCGGTAACCCATGGTAGACAATTAGAATTCACTTATCTGCAGCTTTAAGTAGCAGTCCATTAACTGTTCATTTATTCATAGTGGCCTGTTTTAAGTCCATTTATAATGTATGGGCTGCCTTAACATAGTGCATGTTAACATGTCCATAATGAGTGCATTAACCTACCATAGCAGAGCACTTAAGTGTGAATGAGCCCTTATAGTCACCTGGCTGTTACCAGGAGTTATGGCTTTCCTCCATTACTTGCTGCATGCTTGTTCTGGGTATGTGACTCAAAGTATAAGGCCAGAGATAGGCTGAAAGCTGGCGTTCCTAGAAGGAGGCCATTGATTTGTTGACCCCTTTAATTGTTCTCATAACGGGTTTACTTGAAGGGCTTTGTTTTGTTGCTCCTTTGTGCGGTCAGACTCTTACTGCTCAACTGTTAAACATTTGTACTGTACCGTGCCCACAAGGCTTTCTGTACCCGTCCTTACCTGCACAAGCCTCGTTATGCCAATTAATTTCCTCATCAACCATCTCAGATGTCTCTGTTCACTCTAGAAGTCTGTTTCTCGGTGTCCGGCCTCCGCACTCCTTCTCAGTTCTCAGCAATGATCCACAAACCTTGATATGGGCTGACTGTATATCATGAGCCCCATTATCTGATGGAGATGGCCCACAAACATTGATATGAGCTGACTGTATACCCTAAGCTCCATCATCTCATGTTGATGTCCCACCATCATTGATAAGGGCTTATTGTATACCCTGAGCCCCAACATCTGATGGCAATCACCCACAAACCTTGATATGGGATGAATGTATACCCTGAGCCCCATTATCTGATGGAGATAGACCATACATATTGATATGGGTTGACTGTATACCCTGAGCCCCATCATTTGATGGTGTTGGCCCACAAACATTGATATAGGCTGACTGCATATCCTGAGCCCTATTATCTGATAGTGATGGTTCACAAACTAGGCTCAATCATTTGATGTTGATGTCCTGCAATCATTCATGTGGGCCGTTGTACAGTATACCCTGAGCCGCATCATGTGATAGTGATGACCAACAAGCCTTGATATGGGATGAGTGCATACCCTTAGTCTCATCATCTGATGGCAATGTCCCTCAATCCTTGATATGGGCCGAATGTATACCCTGAGCCCCATCATGTGATGGTCCACAAACATTCATATGGGGCAAATGTGTACCCGGAGCCCAATCATCTTATGGTAATGGCCCACAATCATTGATATGGGTTGACTGTATATCCTGAGCCCCATTCTGCGATAGTGATGGCCCACAAATATTGATATGGACTGACTGTATACCTTGAGCTCCGTCATCGGATGGCAATGACCTACAAACATTGATATGGACTGACTATACCTTGAGCTCCATCATCTGATGTCAATGACCTACAAATATTGTTATGGGTTGACTGTTTACCCTCAGTCCCATCATTTTATGGCGGTGGCCCACAAAAATTGATATAGGTTGACTGTTTATGTTGATGTCCTGCAATCATTCATGTAGTACAATTGCATACCCATAGCCCCATCATCTGTTGGCAATGTCCCACAAACATTGATATGGGCTGACTGTGTACCCTGAGCATCATCTGATGGTAATGGCGCTCAATCAGGTTTAGCAGATATAATGTTTGACTTCAGACTTGATGGAAGTCAGATAATTGCTGTTCTGTCTGTTAAGACCCATTCATGCCTTTCCAGGGCAATGCTCCGGGTCCACAAGGTCTGAATGGACCCATAAAATCTAAACCAAAAATGTTGTTTTCCAGTTTTGAATCGAGAAATGGTTAAAAGCTCTCTAAGGTTGTATTGCTGTCTGCAGAATAGCAATGATGGGAATTCCAAAAATTTCAGGTAACTAAGAGGGGATATCCACTTACCACATTTGTTCTCTCACTTCCTGCTGTTCCTGTGTAACAGGAAGTGAATGGAAGGGAACGCAGACAGCAAAAATAAACCGACAGGGCTTTAAACTGTTTTAGAACAAAACTGAACTCCAGGCACAAAAATGTTCATGTAAATATATTCTACAAAATATATAAAGGATATACATGCACTTTGTATGTACCAAATGCCTCTGCAGGCTCAGATCTTACCTTGTAAAGTAGCAGTGACATCATCACTGTGCTGTACATAGCCTGTGCGGAGCTGTGGGAGGGGCCCAGCAGGTCCTCCCATTACAGGCTGCAATACCAGAGGGGGCGGAGACAAGTCAGTCTGCACAAAGAGGGAGAGCAGCAGTGACCGGTCTTTTTTTGCAGGCAACGTTTCACACTGGATTACTGCACAGATCTGGAAGAAATACACAAAGCTCACTAAGATTAAGATATTTCTTCCAGGGCTGTGCAGCAATCCAATGTAAAACGTTGCCTGTAATAAAGACCAGTCACTGCTGCTCTCTCCCCATGTGCAGCGTGACTGGTCTGGTCTCCTCCCTTCCTGTAGATTTCTACAGGCAACCTGTATGGGTGGAGCCTGCTGGGCCCCTCTCACAGCTGTACTGTTTTCACAGTCTATGTACAGCACAGTGATGATGTCACTGCTACTTTTATAAGGTAATATCTAGGATTACAAAGGCATCTGGTGCACACAAAGTGGATTTATATCAATGATGGCTTTTGAAGATGAAAAAGAAAGTTTCTGTGGCTGGAGTTCATCTTTAACCGCTTGCCATCTGCCCACTGTAAATACACAGGTGGATGGCGGACGCTTCCCGATGGGTGGAAGTGTCTGTGCGTCATTTTTTTTTCTGCTCGCGCGTCCAGAATCCTGCCTGGCATGTAAACAGCCGGTACCGGCTGTTACATACAAGCGTTCGGCCGGCTCTACAACCGGCCGATTGTTTGTATTGTAACGTACAGTGTCCCCCCCTTCTGCTGTTGCGCTCCCCCCCTCCACCACCGCTTCCGGTTATCCCGTCCTGGGATCCGCTGTCCCCCCTGCAGGCCTGGGACTGGCATAGCGGCTGTCTATACTGAGGAGGAGCGATCAGCATTCCCCCTCCGCTAATCTCTCCACCTTCCTTAAAGGAGAAATATGAGGTGAGTGCTTCTCACTCACCTCATAGTTCTAGCCGACCTGTGACAATGAGACTGTCACAGGTAGGCTCAGTAGATCGGGAGGTGAGCGAACACATACCGGCGTTCGCTCACCTCTCGATCCTGTCACGGCTCTCTGCCGTGACAGGGGAGGGGCTGGATTCCCCCCTCCCCGCTCCGATCCGCCAGCGCTGACTGGGGGCGGGTACAGCTGGCTCTGCCTCTAGATAGGCAGAGCCAGCTGTCACTCACGCAGCTGGGCGGATCTGGACATCGATGTCGGGATCCGCTGCACCGTCTCAGTATACTGCGAGCTGTATCTCGCGGTATACTGAGCTT